TGGTAAAAAACCTAATTATGACAACAATGATGGGAATTTTTAAAATAAAATGAAATATTACTCAATATTTAAAATTTTTCATTTTTTAATTGTTAAAAAAAATTCCAGAAACCATGTTATAAATCAGCCTACTAACTATATAAAAAAAATTTAAACTGGTGGTTTAGGCATTGGACTAATTAATATGCACAAGGTTGGTGGTTCAAATCTACCAGGCAAATAAAAAAATATATTGCTTTTAGAATTCTAGTTTATATATGCATGGGTCTATTCCAAACAAAACCCATTTAAGCATGTGTCTGTGATCACAAGCTAGATGTTTTCTCAGTAATACATTTTTCTTAATCTTATTAGGGTACCTTGAAATAATTTTTAGAAAAGGGTCAATCAAAACAATGGCTTCCTAGGGAATATGCCAGGCTCATTCAATTCCTGGCAGAGAGGTCTAGCTCAAGCGATGGAGATTGTTTTTTGGTATTCCAAAAGGAGAATGTTGATATTTTCTTGAAGGACAGAGATGATCTAAAGGGCTTACTGTGAAGAGATTTAAAGAAAACTGTAAACTGCATTGGTAAGAAAAAGGCCAGGAAAGCAACATTGAGGAATTTTTTTCTATCACAACAATGCACCTTCTCATATATAGCCTTTCCAGTTTAAATTTTGTTTGTCTGTATGGACTCCCCCCTTCTTCACTTTGTTTTATTGACACAGGATATGCATATTACACAATTCAATGGTTTAATTATATTAAAAGAGAGTTGTGCAGTCACCACCACAATCAATTTTGAAACATTTCTTTGTTCCTGTAGTCATTTATTACTAGCTCCCCATTTTCCTCCAACCTCCCATCATAACCCTAAAAAAACTATTAATCTAGTTAGTATCTCAACAGATTTACGTAAAGTGGATTTCACATAACAAAAGAACATACCACCCAAAATGAACAAAATAAAACAAAAAAATTTCAATAGAATACAAAGCAGAAAATATTACAAATCAGAACAAATTTAAAATGGGTTAAAAGAGAGAACAAAAAGTAAAGTTAAAAAGTACATTTTAACCTAACTACATCCCCTAAGCTAACATTAATTCCCTTTCCATTGCACTGTATGATAGCAAGGGTATTCACATACCTGGTCAATGGTCAGAGGGAATTCACCAGAGGCTTAATCCATGTGGTGAACCTGTAAATGGATTTTGGACTTTCATTGTCATGCACAGCCTGCTGAAAAATGGGTGCTCAGAATTTAAGCTCTACAGCTGTTTCCTCCTCTAGTCTTGGGAGTTTATTATTCATAATCCTTGGATCATAAAGGCTTGTATCCTTCTTCTGTGTGCACTCAGTTGACATCTCACTTAGATAGATGCTTGTTTTAAGACAAGAATTTAAGATCCCAGACGCTAAGATGCGTTTTGTTTCTGATAAGCAGATGAAATCTTTCAAAAATTTTAATTAGCCTCATTGGCTCTACCTTAAAGATAATACCTTAGAATGGAAATGTTTATTTTATTTTGAAATGCATATGATAAATGCTAAACACATTATATTTTAATGATGCTTCAGAACTTAAGTTTTCAGTGGCAGGGATTACTTTATCTTTCTAGCTCTGAACATAATTGTACACAGAAGGAATGTTAAAGTTAACAGCCACTGAACAATTTCAAAGCAATCCTTCAAACTTATTTAGCCTATACAACAATCTCATGACATAGGTATAGTTATCTCCAGTTTATAAATGAATCCTCAGCGCAGGATAGTAACTGGCATAGGATGACTAAAATTTAGGTCCTGTCATTTTAAGACTAAAGTTCTTTCCAACAGGACCCCGGGTGGTGTAGTGGTTATGTATTAGACTGCTAACACTGGGTCAGGAGATTGAAACCATCAGCCAGCCACTCCAGGGAAGGAAGGTGATACTTTCTACTCTCATTAAGAGTTAAGTCTCAGAAACACACAGGGGCAGTTCTACCCTGTCCTATAGGGTCGCCATGAGTCAGAAATTACTTGATAGCTGTGAGGTTAGGGTTGTTGTTTGTTTCTATCTTTCAACACGATACAACACTCTGTAAAATACTTCACTTTCAAGCTATCTGTGCTTTTTAGATGGACATATCTGTGCCTTAAAGGAATTCATCATTTCTGCTCACAGATGGATCTAGGCTCAAAGCAGAGAATATACCAGAATGATGTTTACTTTTGTAGTATTGAGTATGCAAAGCTCTTCAACTGTGTGGATCCTAACAAACTATGGATAGCCTTGAGAAGAATGGGAATTCCAGAACACTTCATTGTGCTCCTGCAGAATTTGTACATGGAATAAGAGGCAGTTGTACGAGTGGAACAAGGGACTACTTCATGGTTTAAATTCAGGAAAGGTATGTGACAGGGTTGCATCCTCTCACCATACTTATCCAATTTTTATGATAAGCAAATAATCAGCGAAGCTGGATTATATGAATAATAACGAAGCATCAGGATTGAACGAAGGCTTATTAACCGCCTGTGGTATACAAACGACACAACTTTGCTTGCTGAAAATGAGAAGGAATTAAATCACCAGCTGATGAGGATCAAGGACTGCAGCCTTCGGTATGGATTATAACTCAATGTAAAGAAAACCAAAATTCTCCAAATGGACCAAAAGGCAACATCAAAGATTTTGTCTTGCTTGGACTCACAATCAATGCTCATGGAAACAGCAGTCAAGAGATCAAGCATGTTGTACTGAGTAGATCTGCTGCACAAGATCTCTTTAGAGTACTGAAAAGCCAGGATGATACTTTGAGGAATAAGGTGTGGCTGACACAAGCCACGGTATTTTCAATTGCCTCACATGCTTGTAAAAGGTGGACACCGAATAAGGAAGACCGAAGAAGAATGGATACATTTGAACTCTGGTGCTGGAGAAGAATATTGAAAGTACAGTGGACTGTTAAAAGAACACACTGATCTGTCTCTGGAGAACTACGGCCAGAGTGCTCCTTAGAGGCAAGGATGGTGAGACTTCGTCTTACATACTTTGGTCTTATTGTCAGGAGAGACGAGTCCCTGGAGAAGGACATCATGCTTGCTAAAGCAGTGAGGCAGTGAAAAACAGGAAGGCCCTGGATGAGATGGATTGATACAGTGGCGGCAACAATGAATTCAAGCATAGAAACAATTTTGAGACTGGCACAGGTCTGGGCAGTGTTTGGGTCACTGTTGTGCATAGGGTCACTATGGGTCAAAACCAACTAGATGGCACCAAAGAACAATGGAATTCTAAAATATTTTTCAATTACTTCCTGGATATTTATAGATAAGCCACTGTCAGCTCCTACTATATCCTGTGATGTCAGCTTACAGGGATTTTGATCCACTCAGGAGAAAATAAATTTTATAATTTTGTCACTTAAAATACAAAGCACTATATAATTAGTATATAGCAATAGATTCTTTAAAAAAATAAAAACTAATCTAGGAATTAATCAAGCAATCCAAGATCAGATAAGCTATCTTAAGATTTCTTGAACCTATATGACTACAAAAGGTCCCAGAGAGAGGGGAATAAGAGATCATTTATACAATATATAGGTTCTAAAAATATCAGTGGGAAGGGCAGTGGAAGGAATATATTATACTCATCATAAAAAAAATGAGGGAGCACTGCTGTTATTATAACTTCTTCTTTACAGAAAGTTGCAAGTGCCAGGAAGGCCAGTATTATAGACTAGAACTGAAACTATTCACTTAGAAAAACCTAGGAAAGCAGACTAAATCACAAAGACTTAGGCATAGGTAAACGTTAAGGTGAGTTTAAAAGAATATTACTTTTATTCTAGGGAGCCCTGGTGGGGTATGGATTACTTGTTGGTCTGCTAACCACAAGGTCAAAACAACCAAATGACTCCATGGAAGAAAGATGAAGACTTCTACTGCAGTAAAGATTAACAGTCTCAGAAAACCACAGGGTCAGTTTTACCCTGTCCTATAGAGTCATTATGATTTAAGACTGACTTGATGGTAGTGAGAGGGACCTTTATCCTACAGCAAGAGAAGCTTAAAATGAGACCTCATCTTGTTCCCCTCCAATAAAAGAATAAAAGTCAGATATCAGATACTTGAGATACCACATCCTAAAAGAAACAATATTCTAGAAAAAGTGTGCTCACTTCTGGGAGTCAGACAAATGCTAAAAGCCCTGTTTGGTAGAACATGTGTTCTCCAGATTATCTGCATCGCTAACTGCTTTACTCTTCTAGTTTTTGCTCACAGTTGTGTCTGTCCACCTAAAATTTAAAAAATCCTTCTATCGTGTATTTCTGACACATTCTCCTTATTCTGCCATTTTTAAGCACTTATCTGCTATACATTTACAGTTATGCATTTATTATTTGTTTTCTGTCTTCTATCCCTTATTCAGAGAGTATACTCTACAAGAGCAAAGATTTTTGACTGTGTAAGAGAGCCTAAAATAACACCTGTTACATATTTGTTGAGGGATAAATGAACATGTAGGCATTCATGCCAATTTTCATTAATTTAACTATAATTAACTTCAATAATGAATTATATGACAAAGGAAAAAACACTTTTCCAAGCCTGAAGCCTATATACTTGCAATTCCAGTGTTTATAGTGTCCTTCTTCCTTGACCCTAATACCTTTCCCTTATTCTAATATTATTTGCCAATTCCAATCCAATATCCCAAATTCAATTAAGTTTTCTAAAGAGTTATTCTAGCTCCACCAAATCAGATGTAGGTGTGCCTCCTAAAACAATTTTCATATTATCTTTGTTTATATTCTTGTTTATTATCATTTTTCACATGTATTACAATGATTACTTGTTTCTCAATGATATGAACTCTAACAGAGCAAAATTATTCTTACTTTATTTCCCGTGCTGGCATATGGCTTATACGACACAATACACGACAAGTATTCAAGGAATATTTTGTGAATGAATAAAAAAATTTTAATCTATGAAACTGAATTAATGATGAATCACAGAAATTTACCTGCTACTTTTTTCCTTAGTGTTTCAATTTCTTCTTTTAAATTTTTTATTTCTAAATCTTTGCTTGCTGTTAGTGGTCCATCAACAGTTGAATATTGTAGAGCTTGGACAGTCTGCGTTGACTCTTTAAAAGATGAAGAAAAGAAAGTAAGACATATGACCATACGCTAAATCTTAAAAACAATAGCAATACACTCCGTCCTACAGAAATCCTTATATATTTTTTTATCAACAAGTAACAAAACATGTACCTACTGGTAAAATTCATGTGTATATATTAAATGAACTATTACTCCATTTTAAATGCCTTTAAAATTATAAAATATATAGGAAAATACAGCTTTCAATATGTGGTATTTTGAATTACTAAGATGATTAACTTCATGCATTAATTTGGCTAGAATAGGATATCCAGGTATTTGGACAAATACGAATTTTGATGCTGTACTGAAATAGCATGTGCTTGAATCAGTTGACCTTAATTAAGGCAGATTACCTTTCATATTTTGGGTAAGATAAATCCAATCCGTTAAAGCTGTATGAGCAAAAAGGTGAATTTTCCTTTGGGTGTCCTGCCTCCAGTCTAGTAGACTTTTTGCCAGAGCTCCTTTACACTTCATATCCTCCCCACCATCTGACTTACAGACTTTGGGTTCCAAGACTGCAGGGATCTCCACTCTAGACTTTGGCCTGACCCAGGATTGTTACTCCGTGTATGTTTAAATGGCTCTTGTGACCAGTGTATCACTATAGAAAGGTTCTCTACTATGACACTTGTCATAGACTCATAGAGTGCCTTCAAAAAGAGGGCTGAACCAAAGCAGACTTCTGAGGACATCTGCTGCTGGGCTGGTTAAAATTCAGGGTGGAGAGGTCAACTAGTAAGGTTAATGGTGACTAATTTTGGTATTCAAAAGGGGTAATTTTAATAGATTTTCTTGAGGGATACGGCATGATCATGGGGGCTTATTAGGATAAAGTAAGAAAATTAAAAATTACACTGGTGAGAAAAAGGTGATGAAAGTTGTACCAAGTATATTTTTAGGAGCGTTACTACTAATAATTTTGGGTGGAGGAAAGTGTACCAAGAGCCAGATGGATAAATAAACTTTTAAACTTAGATATAATACAAAGGTTCTTGGGTGGCAGAAACACTTTCCCCTTAGCTGCCAACTAAAAAGCTGGTAGTTCAAATTTACCCAGTGGTGCCACAGGAGAAAGGCTTTTGTAGATCTGCTTACACAGATTACAACCAAGCAAACTTCAGGGAGCTCAGTTCTACTCTGTAACACATGGGCTTGTCAGGAGTCAGGATCCATTTGACAGCCAACAACAAAGACATATTTTTACATATCATAGGTTGATCCATGCTGTACATATGAGAGGGGGTAACCCAAAATAAAACAGACCCCCAGCTATGTATTTAATTTTTTTTTAAACACAATCTTAACATCTTCAAACATCCAAAGTACTCTCCATTACACTTAATACATTTGTCAAATCTGTGATTCCATTCTTGGACACACTTTTCTAACTCCAATGTTTAGATGGCTGACAGAATGTACCTCATTTTTTTTCTTCACCTCTTCTGTGTCATCAAATTGCTATGCTTTCATGTCCCTCTTCATTTGTGGAAACAAAGAGTTTACACAGACCAAGGTCAGGTGAGTAAGGTGCATGGGCAAGAGAGCCACGCTGTATTTTGCCAAAAACTGGTACACTGAAAAGGTTGTGGTGGCAAAAGCAGTCCCCTGTCTGCTACAGAGCAGGCCTTTTTTGTCAGATACTGTTCTACAATCTTTTCAGAACCTCTAAATAGAAAGCTTGATTAACAGTCTGACCTAGTAGAACTAACTCCCAATGTACTATCCCCCTCACATCAAAAAAAAATGAGCATCATTTTGGGGGAGTACTCCCCCTCATATTTCCATAGTTTATTTTATATAAAACATTTAATTTAATTTAATTTAATTTAAAATAAACTATTGAAAGATATACAGCATGGATGAATTCTGTTTATTTTTACTGTAAAAATGAACCAATGAAATAGATATGGCATGGCTGAATCTCAAAAACAACATTTTGAATGAAAGAAAGCACCAAATACACTTATATGATTTCATTTTATATGAAACTCAAGAATAGGTAACATTAATTGTGATAGTCATAAGATTAGTGTTGCTAGGTTACAAACTGGAAAGGGACATTAGAAAAACCTATCACAGGCTGCAAATGTTCTACATTATGATCTGAAGGTCACCTGGGTGTACTTATACATACACATTTATTGGGTTCATGCTTACAAGTAGAGCATTTTATAGTAATACAAGTAGCCCTTGTGTTATATGAATCCTCATAAAATCCTCATCCCTGTGCTATTTCTGTAAGCAAGCTATGCTGTGCATTTAATGTGCGGACAAGTTATTTACATGGGTGCATTATTTGTAAGGGGAAATGTTCCTTATACATTTTACTGTATGTACATTATATCACAATTTAAAAGTCAAAATGAATAAAATAAAAATTGAGATCTAAAGGGTAAGTAAAACCATTCCTCCCTATCAACATAATTAGGTTATGAAGTCATTATGTAGAAATCAGCATTACGGACAAATAGAGCACATCTTTCTCAGATGACAAAATGCAAAATGTCTATATCAACACTTAACTGCAAAATCACTGAGAATCATGGCCTAGCCAAGTTAACAGATAATCTTAACCATCACAGTAAGCGTCATCATCACCTTATACTTTAGTGTTGGTTATCCCCAGACTACGCTGCTAATGTGGAATAATTCAGATAATACATTTAACCACTTACTGAGAGTCAAAAAAATAGTCTGTTACATTGATTTTTGTGGCGTGTTTTTTTACCCACTACAAAACCACAACAAAAACTAAACCCACCTCTGTCAAGTAGCTTCTGACTCATGGTGTCCTGACATAGGGTTTCCAAGGCTGTAAATCTTCAGGGAGCAGACCACCTCATCTTTCTCCACCAGATCAGTTGGTTGGTCTCAAACAGTGACCTTGAAGCTAGCAGTCCGAGGCTTACCCAGCACTGCTACCAGGGATCCTTTTTTTACTCACTAGCCCTGATAGCATAGTGACTACACATTGGGTTGTAATCTACAAGGTCAGCAGTCGAGATCACCAGCTGTTCTGCAGGAGAAAGACGGGGCTTTCTAATCACCTCAAGATTGCAGTCTTGGAAACTCACGGGCAGTTCTACCCTGTCCTGTAGGATCACGATGAGTTGGTATCAACTCGATGACAGTGAGTTTGGTTTTGGGTTTTTAAGATCTCTTAAAATAGTATTAGTAGTGTGCTTACATGATTGGAAAACTTTAACTTTTTCTTAAGAGCTCGAAATTATTGATTTGTATACACACTCCTTTATACATAAATTAATAAAATGAGTTGAATATTACATTTTTATTTTAAAGAAAATAAGGCAGGAAAGTAGTATGATGAATGCCAGGGATGGAAATGAGATTTGTTTTTTTCATTGTTTTTAGGAAAGGTCTCAATGATAAGATGACTATCAAAGGAAAAACATCTAAAGGCAGGGAAATAGCTAATAATGATTTGATGTTGTACCTGGCTAGTGTAAGGAACAGCAAGAAACCCAAGGTAGCTAGAGAAATAAAAGTACGTGATATCAAAAAAGCAGTATAAGGCCTGATCAGTTATGGTCTGAAGCCACTGAGATAAGTTTAGCTATTAATGTGAGATGGAAAACCATGAGGATAAAGATAAATCAGCAAAATTCAATTATATAAGTTATGTTCCTTCTGAGCTTGATGGCCGCTTGATTACCTTCAAGGCTTTAAGACCCCAGACGCTATACCTTTTGATAGCGGTGTCAAAGGGATCAGGTATAAGGCATCATCAGAACAAAAAATCTTACCATAGTGAATGATGGGGGGAGTGCGGAGTAGAGATCCAAAGCCCATTAGTAGGCCACTGGAGATCCCCTTGCAGAGGGGTCTCGGGGAGGAGATGAGCCAGTCAGGGTGCGATGTAACAACGATGAGAAATACAACTTTCCTCTAGTTCCTAAATGTTTCCTCCCCGCTCCCACTACCATGACTCGAATTCGACCTTGCAAGTCTGGCTAGACCAGAGGATATACACTGGTACTGATAGGAACTGAAAATACAGGGAATCCAGGACGGATGAGCCCTACAGGACCAGTAGTGTAAGTGGCGAAACAGGGAGGGTAAAGGGAGAATGGGCAGGAAAGAGGGAACCGATTACAAGGAACTATATGTGACCTCCTCCCTGGGGGACAGACAACTGAAAAGTGGGTGAAGGGAGACGTCGGACAGGGCAAGATATGACAAAATACTAATTTATAAACTATCAAGGGCTCATGAGGGACGGGGGAGAGGGGAGGGAGGGGGAAAATGAGGACCTAATGTCGGGGGTTTAAGTGGAGAGAAAATGTTTTGAGAATGATGTACAAATGCGCTTTACACAATTGATGTGTGTATGGATTGCGTTAACAGTTGTATAAGCCCCTAATAAAATGTTAAAAAAAATAAGTCATGTTCAATAGGCTTACTTGGTAGTTATGTTGAAAACATAATGTAGAAAGGCAGGGGAAACCAGTTCAGAAGGTAATGCAGAAACACAGATGTGAATTAATGGAGTTTTGTCCCACAGTGATTGGAAACATTTTCAATTTTAATGGTGCTGACAGTATTTGCTGATAGATTAGATGAGAGGACGTATATGGTTTCTTTAAAATTCTGCAGTTTTAGGTCTGAGCAAATGAAATCATAAAGTAATCTGGGTGCTCATTGAGAGGTCAAAGAGTTAAAGAAAAGTCAGAAATTTTTAGGACAGACTTTTAAGGAAAAAGAAAACCAGGAAAGCAAGCTGTTCAAGAAGCCAAACGAAGAAACTTTTCAGGAGGATATAAGCAAATAGGTTCAATGCTGCTGATAGGTTAAAAGATTGAGAAATTTGCACTGGATTTTGCACATACACTGTGCACTGTTGGGCAGCATCCAGAGCCCATGTAAAATTAGTAAACATGATTATAAAATGACATTTGTCAGTATATTACTTGTTTTAGGTTAGCTACCTTAAATCACAGTTACAGATGCACAATTGTGCATAAACAAAGCAAGTTACTGCCAAGGGAGTTTGGCAACAGAAAGAAGAAGAGCAATGCCGTTGAGAGTAGATGATTAAGGAATAATGTTGGAAGAATGGGAGTTAGCTTGCAAATTAGGAGCTGGAAATTTTATCTTGTTGAAGGAGGGCTTTTTTGAACCTGAGATTAGTGTTTTAATTCCTGTAATCTCAAGATAGATCTTGCTTCTATGGTGAGGAATAGGTGAGTTAATGGTACAGAAAAAGATCGCTGAAAGTGAGCCATGAGAAACTGAAAAGAGTATCAAAGGGTTCATCTATGTGTATTTTTAAGTCACCAAATATTGAAGTCTTATAGTTCATTTTTCTCTCTTCAGAAATATAATTCATTCTCACACATTTATATGCATACATAATACCCAATAGAAACAAATGCTACTTTTTGTCATGGTTTACTGTTAACCGTATATTTAGCATTTGCTTTTTCTTGACTTACTAAAAGAATTAATTTTCAAGACAAAACAAACACTTGTAATAAACAGTTCATAACACTATAACTGAGTCCAATACAAAAACGGAAAGAAAGCATCTTTAAAATACATTACCTTGGAGCTTTCTACTAAGCTCCAATTTTTCCTGTTCGAGGCGTTTAATTCTTCTTTCATACGCTTCAGTTGCTAAGTTGTTATCTAGAGTCCGTTGGACACTTACATCAAGATCTAGTGAGGTGGGACCAGCTGTAACTCTTAAACTGCTCCGATCAGAAAGAGCACTGAAGAAGAGAAACATTATTGAGTCATGTTGACATGAAAACATTTGAAGAAAAAAAAGATAAGGATAAAATGTCTGAAATGAAATTGTTCGTTCCTTTAAGACATAAATCTATCTCATTACAGGGAGCTACATGATTGCAAAAGTCATTTGCAAAGCCATGTAAACTAATTAACAGAGAATTTCTTAAAATGAATAACAATTTGGAACACTTTGACCATGTTATCAGAGTCATAAGCACTATCTACAGTCTTTCTAGCCAGAATTTGAAATTCCAAAGTGAAGTATGTTCTTCAATTCAATGCAGTTTTTGTATCATACTACCAGGTGGCAGTAGGAGCACCTGAGATTGCTGATCATGAATTTGAAGCAAGAATGATTTGAACACTTCCCTTATTCCATCTGTATAGGCATAGGCAGAGAACTAGGTTTGAACAATAAATGCTGACCTTGTTGTTAGTGGTATTGCTAAGTGCCATTGATTCAGTTCTGACCCACAGGGATCCTAATGCACAACAGAAGGAAACATTGCCTGATTTCATGTCATCCTCTCAACGATTGTTCCCATCCTTGAAGCTCAATGTTGGAGCCAACAATGACTTTGCTGACTTAGCAAAGCAAAAGCACTGTTTGGGTAATAATTAGGATGCTAACCCAAATGTCAGCAGTTTGAACCCACCAGCCGCTCCGCAGGAGAAAGATGAGGAAACAAAAGTTTAAGTCTTGAAAAACCTGTGGAGCAGGGTTTTGTTTGTGGTTATGTGTTGGGCTTCTTTCTACCTGCCAAGTCTGCAGGTTGAAACCACCAGCAGCCCCACAGGAGAAAGACATGGCTTTCTACTCTGATAAGGAGTTACAATCATGGGAGCTACAAAAATAGGAGCAGTTCTATACTGCTTTTTATAGGTTTCCTATGAGGCAGAATTGATTTGATGCCAGTGAGTTTGGTTCTCATAGGGTCCGAATCAAGTTAATGGCAGTGGTTTGGGATTGGCACAACAAACATAACAATGAAAAATGGTGACGGGAATTCAGGTGATACACATTAGTGTTCAGTGCTGCAAATCTGTTCTTGAGATTTTCTCTAAGTTTAGATGGGCTACACTCTAAAATTATGTGACTACACTATTAAATTTGGCTCTCATGGATTTGTTTTAATTTTCTTCATCTTTGACTTGCACTGGAATATTAGCTATGGAGGGTCTCTTCCAAAGTCGGCCCTAGTCTTGTTTTGGCTTATGATAGTGATTGTCTCCATGATCTCTTCTGATAGACGGACTCAATTTGATTGTTCTCATTTCCTTTTGGTAAATGCTGTGTATATGCTGCTAAAAATTTTTTTTAAATGAAGAAATCAATAGCATTTGTCAAATTCTACAAGATACCTCCATATTTTCCAACTAGTAATCCTCCCTCTTTGTTTATAACTTTCACATTTAAGTCGCCAGTGATTTTCAATGCATCTAGACTCATGTTTGATCAATTTAAGGCTTAAAAAAGTTGAGAGAATTCTTCAATTTCTTCATCACTAGCATTTGTGGCTTTTATATCACTTTAAATAATAGTATTAAGTGTACTTCCTTGTAACTATACAGATATTATTACAGCACAGACAGCATTATACTTCAAGATAGATCTTGAAATATTATTTTAGATTACTAATGTGATGCCATTCTTTGAACTTGTCATTCTTGGCGTAGTACACCATAGACTGTGTGATTCAAAGAGGCTAATACTGTCTACTTTAGCTCACTAATGTCTAGCATCACATCTATCTCATTTGGACAGCCACCATTTTCATAGACTCACACTACACAATTCCACATTCTAATTTTTAATGGATTTTTCCAGGCATTTCTTCTCATTTTGAGTCATGAGCAAATTAAGGCGCCCAAAGCTTTATTCCATTCATATCATTAAAGTCCACTCTGATTTGAGGAAGCAGTTCTTCCCCAGTTAGATTTTCAGTGCTTTCTAACCGGAGGGGCTCATTGTCCAGCACTATATCCCACACTGTTCTGTTGCTATTCGTAAAGTTTTCAGTGAATAATACCACAGAAATGAACTGCCTATTCCTGCTTCCTACTGTGTTCTGTTCTGAAAGTTCTGCTGAAACTTGTTCACCATGGGTGACTGTAATGATATTTGAAATACCTGTGGCATAGCTTCTTACATCATGGAAACATGCAAGCCACCACAGTATGACAAACTGATAGACAAGTGAGGACTTTTTCTAGTAGGATCATCAAATAATTTTTAAAACCCTCTTACACATTTGTGCTTCATTTTAATTTTTTTTAAATTGTAAAAAAATTTCATATTTGAAACTTACCAGCTACTAGTATATGTAAAACCAACAAATGGCAGATGGTGGCCAGAGAATGCAGCATGTGTTGGTGGGGGCATTGTTTCCTAAGGAAAAAAAAGGAAAGCATCTGGTAAGTAACAGGTAGTGATCACAAGTAGGCTGAGCTATAAATATTTTCTGTTAATAGACACATGTATATATGATTGTCCAAATGTTGAATCTTATCTGTCTTGAATATGGCACTATACTATGAAAAAGTATATAGCATTAAGATAAAAACGCACAGTATAAAACCTTTGGGTTTCCTAGACTGTGGATCTTTACAGGAGTACACAGTATTATCTTTGTCCAGTGAAGTGGCTATTGGGTTTGAATTGCCAACTATAGCAGCCAATACCTACCCTACAATATACAAAGTCTGATATTGAATAAAAATCAAAGTTCAAATTAAGAGAATTATAAAATAGAACAAGAAATTTAAGAACTGATACGTTTTATTCTTAATTACCTAAATTTTAACGTAACTCATTTATTTATCATAGAGGTTAACAAATTATGCGGCCCTGTTTCTGTATTGTCTACAAGGAAAAGTGGTATTTAAATGTTTAAAAAGTTGTAAAACAGAGAAGCAGCAGCAGAGACAACATGTGGCCCCAAAGCCTGAAAAGAAAAGGTGTGCTGACGACTTATTTAGAGAAAAGTAGTAATTCATTCCCAGTAAAATTATATAAGAAATAATTACAGCGTATGAAATTACAAAATCTCCCAGAAGGAACTATTAAAATTTTTATTCCCTTTGTTTTCTAATATATGTGAGAAATCTATACCTTAAAAAAAAATCATAGTAATACTGTTTATACTGACTGTGTACTAAGTATTATATAATTATAGTAATAATATATTGACTACCCTGGGATTCTCGGGAATCACTCTTGACATAAGCAAAATAATGCCAAGATAATCTTAATGTGTTCACCATTAGTACTCATCATTATTTATTATCCTATTAAAATATACAGTTTCACACAGGATAAAGTAGGCATTTCAAAAGAAAATAGTCAATATACACTAATGTTCACTAAGAAATCCTGGCTTGTTTCTAATTAATTAAAATCGTAATATTTATCAAGTAGAGGAGAAGGAAAAACATTTTACGTTTTATAATAGATTAAACAATCCACAAACAAATAAACCATTACATTAAAAGACTAGTGAAAATTAAAGAAAATTTTATAAAATTTGTTTTAAAAGTTTATTTTAAAAATTAAGTCAATGTATTTAATAAACTTATCAAACTTAAAAAGTTTTATTATCATCTAATTCTAAAAATTTAGTTGGCTGACTTTATTGAATTTTTAAAGTTATGTACATATAAACCCCAAACCAAACTCATTTGATTCCTACTCAGAGCAACCCGATATATTAGAGTGGACAGCCTCATGTTTGTCCTGTGAAGTAGCTAATGTGTTTGAAACACTGACATTAGCAGCACAATGCCTAACCCACAACATACAATGTCTGGTACTGAAAACATACAAATATGTTTAAATGCATAAAGATAGACTCTCGTCCACCCTTGTTCTCTAATCACTCACTTCATTCCAGAAGTAAATCGTTAGTATTGGTTTTTAAATTTTCTATTCAAGGAGATTTTAAAAACAGCTTTATTAAAGCATAATTGAGAAATGAAAATATACATAAGTATATAATCTAATATTTTTATTAAATTTATATGACTGTGCAACAATTATCACAAGCTCTTCTAGCCATAAACATAAATTTAATATTCCCACTAAATGACCTTTCACTCATTGTATCATATGATTCAGACTGTGAGTGATTGCCATCTTGCAGAGTATCAGGTGAACCATTTAGAAGTAAGGGGCGGAAGGTCACTACTAGAAAGAAGGTGAGCCAGCAGTGGAAAGTGTCTTTCAGACCTTACACCTGGTTTGGCCTTCTCTGCTGGATCTCTATTTGATTTCAACAGCTTCTGAAGCCTTAGGAATAAAAAGGATCCTTTGTATGGAAATGTGAATTTTGAATTTGGACGTAATGAGTACTCACAACTAATGAGGCATTTCCCTTCATGTAGTGAGTTCAGGGGGCCATTGGAACAAACAGAAGAACCCCAGGACATAAGGGACTATATGAAGGGGAGAAGGTGTCAGCTAATGATAGAGAAGACCGAGTCATAGCTAGTTTGTAAAAGTGGGACATTTGTGACATACAACCTCTCCCTTCTTGGAACTAATCTTGTGTTAATTTTCCTATAAGAAATTTTTCCAACATAAGCCAATTTAAAAAGACTTCTTTACCCATGTACCAATATGTAGAGAAGTCTTTCTTGAACGTCCATCTCCAGACAACCACTAATCTGTATCTTTCTCTATAAATTTGCCTTTTCTGAAAAATAAATGAAACTTATTCAAATATTTTATTCATTTAAAAATTTGGTTATTTGTCTTACCATTCAGTTTTAGCTGTTCTTTATATAGTCTAATCTTTCATGACTTCTTTCATGTGTTACATTTTTGAGGTTCACACAAGTTTAATCCATTTTTCAGTTGTCGATTCCTTTTTAATGTTGAACAGTAAGTATTCCAGTGTGTGTGTATCATATTTTGATTGGCATGTAAACTGTTTCTAGATCTAAAGATATGTGGGCATATATTTTCTATTCTCTTGTATATAGCTAGTAGTAAAATTGCTGTGTCAGAGAGCAAGTTTATACTTAACTTTTTTTTTTCTTAACAGACAAGGAACCTTTTGCCAGAACCTTAAGGACAGCCTTATTTCTTTACTTTAAAAACTTTAAGGTTTCTTGAAACACAATTCATATCATATGGTTTAAACAATATTTGTGCAATCATCATTACAATAAACTTTGGAACATTTTCTTCTTTCTTGAACTTGTCATTATTGGCTACCCAAACCTCCCCCCACCTTCCTTGTTATAACTCCAAGAAACTATTAATCCAGTTACTGTCTCTAAAGATGTACCTATCCTGGATTTCATATAAAGAAAACATACAAAAACAATGAGAAAAAGCAAACAAACGAATAACCATAATAAAACAGAAAAACTCTTGTTGAAAGATAACAGAAAATGATAAAAACCAGAGCCAATTTCATACTGTAAAAAGGGAAAAGAAGTGGCAAGGTGTTAAATTTTAAGCTAACTACATCTACATTAGTTCACTTTACAATGTACTCTCTCTGACAGCAAGGCTATTCAGATCCCTGGTCAAAGGTCAGAGGTAATTTACTAGAGGCTTCATCTGTGTGGTCACTCTACAAATAGATTTTGGACTTTTCACTATCACCCCTAGCCTTCTGCAAACTAGGTGCTCATAATTTAAGCTCTTAGACTGTTTTCCCCTCCAGTCGTGGATTTTATTATTTACAATCCTTCGATCATACAGGCTGGTGTGCTTCTTCCGTTTTAATTTAGCTGTCACCTCACTGATCTTTTCATGAGGGCAAGTATCTAGTAGGGCCACACCATAAGAATGAATTGCTCTCAGATTAGGCCTATGATTAATTGTACACTCATAATCCATTCATAGATCTGTGGCTTATATATGTCCCTGGTGCACTTCATAGACATCATTATCCTTTCCAAACTGACCATTCTATACTATTATCAACAATTTATGAAGATGAGTTTTGGCATATACACATCTCACCAATTGATATTAATTTAATTAAGTCTTTGAATTTTAATTTTGCTCCTAGTTATAAATTATTATGTTTATGCCAGTTGACCCTCTAATTTTTAAATTTATGATAGACTAAGAACCAGAATCCATAAAATCATTTGAAAGGTTCATAAAATTATTTAGGAATTATATTAAAGAGAAACAGAGAGAAGGAACATTTTCACAATGCCATACTTACAGAATTCTTTAAACAATCATCGTCCACATCAAAATTTGATGTATCTGTTGGGCTACTAACTTCTGGAATATAAGGTGCTTCACAGTTTTGAATATTATCCCAGTCAATGTCACTGAAAAATGGGTGTTTCTTAAAGTCTTCTATTCCATTTTGACCAAGTCTGTGTTCTCTGCTACAAATGAGTCTTCGAATAAGGTCCTTAGCATTTTCTGACACATCAGTCACTTGGGCTGGAAACTGAAACCTCTCCTAAATGGAGAATAATGACAAGTATAAAACTTAGTTTAACGGGTTTATTCTTCTTCTTAGAAGTACATTTTTTTCATAAATATCTAATCAGTGTCTCCTGGTACAAAGCACTGGTACTAAAGGGGAGATAGAGCTGAATGAGAACAGACACTTTTCCTTAAAAACCTTAAATTCCATATATGAAACTTGCATGTGCATGCCTAATTCATACCACACATTGTATTATAATAAACAAGTTAAATATTAAAATAGTTTAAACAGTTATTAAGATTGAAAAGGAATAGATTCAAACTGGTGAAATTTCAGTCAATATTTCAAGAGAGTATAGATGACCAATAATATTATGTCATAACACTAATATACACACACACAATTGGCAAGCTCCCACAAATATATCATGAAATAACAAGTTAAACAGGTTAATTATCATCCTTCTTATTCCTATCTATAAGTCCCAAGTTTTTACAACTGTTCACAATCTTACGAAACTGAAAAATTAAAACTTTTCCTCCTTTTAATCTGTTTGGTAACAAACGGAATAGAAATCAGTTGTTTACAGTAATATGAGTATAATAATATGAAAAGTGATATATTCTTAGACATAAAGTAGATATTATTGTCTCAGTAATATGAACAACTTATTTCTATTTCACTTGTTACCAAACAGATTAAAATTTTATTTAATAAATCATTCCTGTGGTGCATTTAGATTATTTCCAGTGTTTTGTAATCATTTAGAAATATTGAAATATGTATCACTGTATACACTTTGACCAAATATTTTAATGCAGATTCCTAGAACTGAAATTGTGTAATCAAACATCCCAACCATTTTAATTCAGCTATATATACATACTGAAAAAATTCTTAACAGTCACCAAACTATATTCCTATCCGCAGTGTGTAAGACTTCATTCTGATCTTACTGCATTATTTTTCTTTTCTTTATGTCAAGTTGACAGGGAAAAACAACACACCTCATTCTTAATTTATATTTCAATTATTATTAAGGGTGATAATTTTTATCTATATTTAGCCATTATTATACATATACTTTAATATATAATGCTGTATAAGTTTCTTATAATATTATTCAATCATCTTAGTGGGGAGACCATTACATTTCTTTTTTATTTTAAAAACCTGATAAAATACATGAGAAGTTACAACTAATAATCGTATGCATAATTTGATTTTTGATTAATGCCAGTCATGTTGCGATATGCATAGCTATGTGAATTTCTACTGTTTTTAGAAGAAATCTTATTTTAAGATTATCATATTTTTATTTTATGCATTATTTATATCAATTTGAAAGACAAAAGATATACTAACTTTGTGATTCATAATTTTTCCATAGGTCTCCACCAGAGATTCTGCATAAAATGGTGTTTCTCCATAAAGCATTTCATACATACAAACCCCCAAAGACCACCAATCACACTCAGGGCCATATTTGCCTTTCCCATCTTCCATTGCTTGAAGAATTTCAGGAGAGATATAATCTGGGGTTCCAACAGCTACTGACGACTGGACCTGAAGAGGTTTACATTTTTGGACAGCTATTAAAATATTTTCAAATAAAAACAATTTATTAATGTAAAAAGTTAATTTATTCTTAGACATAAAGTAGATATTATTATCTCATTTCATTTTTGTATTTATCTCAATTTAGTTCCCTTGCGCACATAAGTTAAATTGTACATAATATTCACATGAATAGATTTCCAGATTTTATAATGATAAAGAACTTTTATCATTCTGTTACTTAGTCTCATACATTTAGGGAAACAAACTGATTTAAGTTCTAGAGCTATTAACAAAAACCAGAATATTTGGTTTAGTAAATTCTTATTATTGATATTTATCTGTCTGACTAATACATACAAAGACAACTATGGAAAATTTACCATTAATTAAGGGGGAGAAACCTGACATACAGGCAAGTATATATGAAGTGTTGAAAAAAAAAATTCACCTTAAAATACAAACAAAAACAACGTAAGAAAATAACTGTCAACACTATACCACAAACATTCTCAGTAAAACAGGGCAGAAGTCAGCATAAAAATGATAAGAGACAAGGAAAGATATTAGGAGGAGTGAAGAGTTCAAGGCAAAATATGTAAATGCTGTTATATACCCAATCCTACAATAACAATAGTCTATGACTAGATGCACAAGATAGATACACAGGCTCAATGGATGTGGCACGGAGAGCAGGACTATTCACATGGATATACGTTTGACAGAGGATATCTGTACTTGGGTATTTACGTTTGCTACAAATATATCTAAAACGATTTTATAACAAATAGAGAGCAAAGTTATGTAAAATTCTTAGACATAACCAAACACCTTTATGGAATAAGTAACTGAGTGTGGCAGCAAAGGACCACAGTCTTGGGAAGACCCAAGGCCAACTAGCATACACAGTCCACAAGACATCCATCTTTAGTGAGTACAAACTGATGTATTAAAGTTCATGTGTGATCATTCAGGGTGCATATGTCCAAGGAAAAGAAGAGTGAAGAAAACAGAAGACACATGGAAACAAACGAATAGTCTAATGGGCTAAAAATCCATGTGAATATCAACCTTTATGATGGTGAGGCAAAGAGAATTAGACAGTATCAAACTACCATTACCAATTATTCTAAAAGGGATCACATTAAAATCTCCTTGATGGGAGAAAAATATGGAACAATACTCAAAATCTAAAGGACCAGATGTACTAGTTGGATAGAGAATGGTCGAATTCCCAAGATTGGAACCCTTAGTCACCCTGCAGGTCTGGAAATGAATTCACTTCCATGGCCCTATGCTCAGCTAAGTAATAGGTCTATAAGGGGAACAAAAACACTCGGGAGGTACACAAAGCTTAGAATAATCAAATATTTCAGATCAAAAGGGCAACATTTATCCAAGAACAAAGTTCAAAGGGTTAGAAGGAAGAATAGAAACAGGAAACAGTGAGGAAGTGGGATGAGTGATATGTAGTGTGGAAATTGCTCTCAATGCCATGAAACAAAATGCATTGGACTGTTGAGTACAAAACTGATCTCTTCCATCACCTTTTTTTTCAATTATGAGAAGGGGCAAAGTACATCATTCAAATGATAAAATCCTAAAAGAACAGTTGAGAATTCAAATATGGCAGGTTATATAGAAATGAGAAATTAAGTAGCTAAAAAAGATCCTAGATGTCTATTTTTTAAAAAGCATTTTAATGCAGGCCTGTACAACTATTATCAGAATCCATACATATAGATGTCTATCTTAAACGGTATTCTACAGTAATAGAAAATGAGCCCTAAAGTAACATATTAAAAATGAGCCTTCTAAAAGTACTCTATCAAACTTGTTAATATTCTGGATTTTCTAGACTAAATTACCATGATTAATAATCAGGATAGACCCTCTATTTGACAACACTGTTAACTATTTAAAAAACTCTTTGTGGTGCTGTGAATTACTTCATATGGTTCTCTTATAAATAGCTTTAAAAATTCCCACCAAATGACTGGGTGGAATCATGGGAATATGTGCATAAAATTCTTAATATGGAGACTGGCCAATTTAGCAGTCAAACTAGGTATAAAATGAACCATCTCAAAAGCAGGTGGAGGGATCTCACAAGAACAAGGAGCCAGGAGTGGAGTGCATCCTTTGTGCTAAGATCCTATAAGCTGAACCTCCTCAATCTGAGGGACAGTGCTGTGACATCAGAAGAGCAGCAGGAGTGGGGGACAGGAGTAACAGCAACAGAAGCAAGAGCTAGAGCATGAGCCAAATCTGTGAGTGAGCTGTTTTGTTTTTTTTAATCATTTTAGTGGGGGCTCATACAATTCTTATCACAATCCATACATACATCCATTGTGTCGAGCACATTTGTACATTTGTTGCCATCATCATTCTCAAAACATTTGCTTTCTACTTGAGCCCTTGATATCAGCTCATTTTCCCCTTCACCCCTCCTTCATGAACCCTTGAAAATTTATAAATTATTATTATTTTGTCATATCTTACACTGTCCGATGTCTCCCTTCACCCACTTTTCTGTTCTCCATCCCCCAGGGAGGAGGTTCTATGTAGATTCTTCTTAACTCATACAGTGAGAAAAGTTGAGTGTCTTTGGGCATAAGGCTTACATGTGAACTGGGTTGCCTAATCAGGGACACTTAATCAGTGTAGCTACGTTTGCCCACCCATGCAGCTAGAGCAGAGTGCTTTGCAGCTGAGACTTATGACAGAGTAGAGTCCTTGTGAACATTTATCCGCAGCTTTCAATGAGCTTTGGACCACTTGCTTGAGCAGGACAGAAACTAGGGGCTGAGAAGCCGAGTAGAAAAGAGGGATGTGCCTGCTCCACACCCAAAAAAACTGTATCTGAGCATTTCTGATTCTGAATTTTAGGTAACCTCTTAACTTCTATGATAAGCCCATAATTATGAGTTTTTGCCTGTGACTTCTGTGTGGCCACTGCAATGAATTTTCAGACCCAGCAGAGAAGCATTGTGCCATGGGTTGGATGCTTGGTATCAGAATTAGTAAAGACGGAAAGAGGTTGGAGGTCTACCTGACCTCCACCTAAAAAGAACTGGCCTTGGGCTTATCTTGAGTTTGATTCTCCTACACACACGTAAGAGGGGGAGTGAAAAAGAAGGCCGTCAATGAGACATATTGACACAGTGGCTACAACAATGGACTCAAGCAAGCATAGGTACAACTGAGAGGATGGCACAGAACTCAGCAGTGTTTCATGCTATTGTGAGTAAGGTAGCTATGGGGCGGAACTGACTCCACGGCACCCCACAATAACGACAGCCCTCAAGCAAAGTTAGATGAGGTCAGACAAAACCCCCACACCATTCTCACAATCTTCCATTACAAAATCTTTTTTCTAAGTGCCAGGAAAAAAGGCCACAATCATCCTTAAAAACATATTAAACAGTTATAAGAGAAATGATTGGAGGCCAATAATCCAAAAATGGTTGAGAACCAGGCTAATAAACATGAGAGTCATGGGGAGTATTGTAGAATTTTTATTTCATTTTCGAAATGCTTAGATTTTAACATATCAAATCAACTTACAAGAAATGAGGGTTAACCCAAGAGACTGCCACCTCATATAATCTTGACCAAAAAGGATGTCTTTTAAATAATAGGATGAATCATAAAAAAACTGTCATCCTACAGAGAAGATAAAAAGAAACTGTGTTTACCTTGACTTGTGGCTATTTGAAAAGTTTTTTTCTCCCCTAGGAATTCATAACTGTAGGTATTATAGTCCCACAATTTAGGATTATGATTCACACTGCTTTTTAATTGCAAGAATTCTCAACCTAAAAATGTGATATAAATACTGGTGTTAGTTCCAAACATGATCACTGAAGGCAAAATGGGTGCATAAGCAAATGTGGTGAAGAAAGCTGATGGTGCCCAGTTATCAAAAGATACAGCATCTGGGGTCTTAAAGGCTTGAAGATAAACAAGTGGCCCTCTAGCTGAGAAGCAACAAAGTCCACATGGAAGAAGCATGCCAGCTTGTGATCATGAAGTGTCAATGGGGGCAGGTATCAGGCATCAAAGACCCAGAACCAAAACCAAAAAAAAGACCAAGAACAAAAAAAGTCATATCTATGTGAATTAGGGGGCGGGTGGAATGGAGCCCATTTGTAGGTAACTGGACATGCCCTTACAGAGGGTCACAAGGAAGAGAAGAGCCAGACAGGGTGCAATATAGCACCGATGAAACATACAACTTTCCTTTAGTTCTTTAATGCTTTCTCCCCCCGCCTCCCCACTATCATGACTCCAATTCTACCTTACAAATATGGCTAAACCAGAGCATGTACATGGATACAGATAAGAACTGGAAACACAGGGGATCCAGGACAGATAAAACCCTCAGGAACAATAATAAGAATAGTAATACCAGGAGGGTAAGGGTAAGGTGGGGGTAGAAAAAGGGAACCGATCACAATGATCTACCTATAACCCCTTCCAAGAGGGACAGACAACAGAAAAATGGGTGAAGGGAGACATTAAGACCTGAAAAAAATAATAATAATTTATAAATGATCAAGGGTTCAGGAGGGAAGGTGGGGGAGTGAGGGAAAAAAAGTAGTAGCTGACACCATGGGCTCATGTAGAAAGAAAATGTTCTGAAAATGATGGCAACATATGTATAAATGTGCTTGACACAATGGATGGATGGATGGATGGATGGATGGATGGATGGATGGATGGATGGATTGTGATAAGAGCTGTACTAGCCTCACTGGCGGAAATCCCGAGTGTGGCTCCAGGTAAATGTTAACTGTCAGAGAAGCTTAACATACCTGGAATGTCTACTAGAGAGAGTAAAATGAGTAAATTCTTTAAGAATTACAGGCCTACAATATAAAACAACAAATTTCATGCAAAACAATGTACCGTATTGGGTACAAAATTACTGACATAATTAGAATGCCAGGGAGGCTAGCCTCCAATAAAACGATGAAATAAAAAATACTGGTGCTAGGTTAGATGCC